TGTTTGGCGGGTCCGGGCTGGGGATTCGAACCCGCCACCTTAGGTGTACATGGCTGGCGCCTTAGCCGGTTGAGCCACAGGCGCCGAGCCAGCATTACTTTCTTAAAAAAAAAGTTATTAGTAATGATGCTGGGATATGTTACCTCTTAGGAAGAACTAAAATCAGAGAGGAAGAAATTCTTCTGTTAGGATCAGAGTGAGCTTCTTGCTAATGGAATGGTGTACCCTTAAAAAAAAACTGGTTGCAACTGGTGTTCTGCAGGTGATAATCTTTTTGCTGTTCTTTTTAGTTCCTGGATAAGACATTAAGATTCTTTCCTTGGTTTGGTGCCTGTGGCTCAAGTGGCTAAGGTGCCAGCCACATACACTTAAGGTCCCAGCCCCATACACCTAAGGTGGCAGGTTCGAGTCCAGCCCGGGCCCACCAAAACAATGATGGCTGCAACCAGAAATAGCTGGGCGTTGTGGTGGGCACCTGCGATCCAGCTACTTGGGAGGCGGAGGCAGGAGACTCGCTTGAGACCAGGACTTGGAGGTTGCTGTGAGCTGTGATGCCACAGCACTCTACCCAGAGGGATAGCTTGAGGCTCTGTCTCAAAAAATATATATATTCTTTCCTTTCTTGCCTTTTTTTGTTTGGTTTGTTTTTTGAGACAGGGTCTCATTCTTCACCTGGTTAGAGTGGGCTCTAGCAGTCCTCCTGTTTCAGCCTCCTGAGTATCTGGGACTGTAGGCACTCACCACGGTGCCCAACTGACTTTTCTAATTTTTTTTGTTTTTTTTTGAGACAGAGCCTCAAGCTGTTGCCCTGGGTAGAGTACCATTGCATCACAGCTCACAGCAACCTCCAACTCCTGGGCTTAAGTGATTCTCTTGCCTGAGCCTCCCAAGTAGCCGGGACTATAGGTGCCTGCCACAACACCTGGCTATTTTTTGGTTGTAGTTGTCATTGTTGTTTGGCGGGCCCGGCTGGATTTGAACCCGCCAGCTCTGGTGTATGTGGCTGGCATCTTAGCCTCTTGAGTGACAGGTGCCTAGCCGACTTTTCTGTTTTTTTATAGTGGAGGTCTTGCTCTTGTTCAGGCTTTGTTTGGGGCTGCTGGTCTCAAGCAGTAGTCCCTTCTTGGCCTCCGGGAGTGTTGGGATCATAGGCATGAGCCACCTGGCCCTCATCTCTGCATTAAATTAAGTAGGGGATCCTCTCTTTCTCCTTTCCCTCCTTTCTAGTTCCTTCCTCTTCCATCCTTCTTCCTCCCTATCTTTTCTTTGTTTCCTCAGTAATTTTTAACAAAGCTGAAGGAGTCACGTTTTAAGCCGTCATTAATTTTGCTTAGTTCCCTAAAGGAAAGATTTATTATTTTTTGCTATATATGGTTCAGATTTTTTTTTAATTTTAAATTTCAGTTGTTTTGGCCAGGTATGGTGGCCAAGCACTCTGGGAGGCTGACGTGGATGGATTGTCTGAGCTCACTGGTTCGAGACCAACTTGAGCCAGAGGGAGACCCTTCCCTCCTAAAAAAATAGCTGGGTAATGTGGCAGGTGCCTGTAGTCTCAGCTACTTGGGAGGCTGAGGCAAGAGGACCGGTTGAGTCCCAGAGTCTGAAGGTTGCTGTGAGTTGTGACACTATGGCACTCTACTGAGGGCAACAAAGTGAGACTCTCCAAATAAATAAATAAATAAATAAATATTTCAGTTTAGTTTGAAAGCTGTTAAGCCACACCTATATCAATCACTAGTAAGAACTGGTAGTGACGAACGCCACTTTTTGTTTTTTTGTTTTGAGACAGATTCTCACTATGTCACGCTGGGTAGAGTGCCGTGGCATCACAGCTCACAGCAACCTTAAACTCGTGGGCTTAAGAGATTCTCTTGTCTCAACTTCCTAAGTAGCTGGAACTACAGGCGCCCACCACAATGCCTGGCTATTTTTGTTTTTTAGTTGTAGTTGTTATTGTTTTTTGGCAGGCCTGGACTGGATTCGAACCCCCCCACCTCCGGTATATGTGGCTGGCACTCTAGCCACTGAGCTATAGGTGCTGAGCTACGAATGCCACTTTCAAATTCAGATCTGTGTGTTATTGTGGTGTTGGTTGGCCACACATCAGCCTTGGACCCATTATGTGCTTCATCTGATTTTCTATGACAGGGGAGTCATTTTCTTGTATCACTTCATGTCCTGTGTAACTGAATTTCTAGTACTCTGTGGTTGCCCAGTTAAAGAAGAGTTGGTTTCAGAAACTGTTTCACTCTGGTGATTAAGCTAGGTGGTTGTGCATAGGATTCTCAGCAGATCTGCAGGTTGAGGGCATTTTTGGTTTTAATTATTAACTTTACAATAAACATAATTCAAGTTATCTTTTATAAACAAGAAAAGGTGTTTTAGAGTTTGATTATCTTAGCT